ATTGGAATCAGGTCTGTAAACCAAAAGAGGCTGGAGGATTAGGAATCGGGCATTTAAAAGAGAAAAACAATGCCCTTCTTGGAAAATGGCTGTGGAGATTCCCCATGGAATCAAATTCTCTTTGGGCAACTATCATCACCAGCAAGTATGGGTTGAATGCAAATGGTTGGGACTGCAATCTCCGATCAAACCGATCAGCTCTCTCTATTCCCTGGAAAGGTATTTCTGCTATTCACAACCTCTTTTTTTCCTTCATTAGATACAAAGTGGGTAACAGTAATAGAATAAAATTCTGGACGGATTTGCGGTGGAACAACTCCACATTAGCAGATCTGTATCCCAGGCTCTACAACCTTACTATAAATAAGGGTGCAACCATCTCCCAGTGCCTTCCCATATCCAGCAATGAAAGAAACCTAAACCTGAACTTCAGAAGACCCTTAAGGGATCCGGAGATCAGTGAGCTAACTGAACTCCTTTCTCTTAGTGAAGCCTACATCTCCCCAAATTCCCAAGATTCCTGAGTCTGGAAACCCCACCCTAGAGGTGAGTTCTCGTCCAAGTCTTTCTTCGAAGCTCTGGTTGTAGATACTCAAGACTGATTTCCCTCACAAGAAGATCTGGTGCAAGGTTATACCCTCAAGAGTGAGTTTTTTTGTTTGGGAGGCTTGTCTGCAGCGAGTGAACGCTTGTGAGTTACTGCAGAAGAAAAATCTTGGAAGACTTTATATCTCCCCTCACGCCTGTATCCTATGCTTATGTGAAGGAGAGACATCAGACCACTTCTTCATACACTGCCAGGTAGCTAGCAGCATCTGCAACTTCTTTCTTCAGTTAGTCGGCTTCAGTTGGGTGGCTCCTAAGCATCTGCAAGATCTGATTTCTCAGTGGCAAGGAATAGGTCTGAGCAAGAGAGGTAAGACCTATTGGCTGATAATACTGCACGCTGTTCTTTGGGGAATTTGGGAGGAAAGAAACAATCAGCTGTTTGAAAATAGGTCCAAATCTAAAGGTGAACTGATCAACCACATCAACCACTACTGCAACTTGTGGGCCTCTAGTTCAGAGGAGTTCACAGGAGTTAGTATCAATGATCTCAGCAGAAACATATATAACTTCCAGGGTTGTTCCCCTCCTACCCCACTCTCTACCAGAGCTCCTTTAGTTAGAAGGGAAGGAATCTGGACTCTCAGCTTTGATGGAAGTGCTTATGGTAACCCCGGAGTTGCTGGCATTGGAGGAATTCTAAGAGATGAGAATGGCCACACATGCTGGGTTTATAGTGGTCCGATTGGGATTGCTGACTCAACAAAGGCAGAAGTGTTAGAAGCTCTAACAGGGATTTGCCTAGTCAGCAAACTGGGTATCCAAAGCTTCTCAATTGAAGGTTACTCGGTCAATACTATAAGATGGTTGGAACAACAGGAAACTGGACCTTGGAGACTTAGTCACTTCCTATTAGAGCCAAGGGACCTCCTGGCTCCTTTGAATGTTTCTCTAACCTGGATCCCAAGGGAACTAAATGCAATGGCAGATGGTCTAGCAAAATTAGGAGTTATTCTAGAGAATCTGTACTGTGATTCCTGTCCTCCTGTGTAATTCTCAGGGGTCTAGCCCCTCTTTTGTATTTGTACACACTCTTGTGTACCTCTCCTTTCTTCAATAAAATTGTTAACTTTTCTCAAAAAGTTAGCAACAAGCATCACCAAATGTGTTCAATTGAAATGAATAAGTTCACGACCAAAGATGTGAAACAGTTCCAAAGGTTAGTGGGAAAGCTGATTTATTTGTCCATGACCCATCCAGACATTGCCTATTCAGTTGGGGTTCTAAGCCAATTCATGCCATCTCCTAAGAAACCACACATAGAGGCAGCATAGAGAGTTCTTAGATACTTGAAAAAGTATCTCGGAACAGGTCTACTATTCAGTAAACATAATCACCTAAAGGTGGAAGTCTTTACAGATGCTGATTGGGCAGGTGTTGTGGATGATAGAAAGTCCACGAGTGGGTATTGCACATTTGTGGGAGGAAACCTAGTGACCTGGAAAAGCAAGAAACAAAGTGTGGTAGCAAGGTCAAGGGCTGAAGCTGAATATAGATCTATGGCACATGGGGTGGCTGAAGTCCTTTGGCTAAAAAATCTTTTAGGGGAGCTTGGAGTTGTTGTTCATAATCCTATGTCTCTTTACTGTGACAACAAGGCAGCCATAAACATCGCCAACAACCATGTCCTACATGAGAGGACCAAGCACATTGAGGTGGACAAACACTTCATAAGGGAAAAATTGGAAAAAAGGGAAATTTGCATCCCTTATGTCAGCTCCAAAGAACAACCCGCTGATGTCCTCACAAAAGGGCTTCCATTACTCGCGGCACAATGAGTTATGTGACAAGATGGGCATGATAGACATATTCAGCCCAACTTGAGGGAGAGTGTTGTGAGAGATTATTTAATTGTTATTTTATAGTTGCTGTTAGTTATTTTCTTTCTTTCTTATTGGTTTGTTTCTAGGGAGTGCCACCAGGGGCATACTTGTAATCTCCCATTCCTTTTATATTAAGTTAATATAAACAAGGAGTAGTAGGTTTTTTGTCTCTCAATCATATCTTCCTCTTCTTCTCTTTCTCTCTCTCTCGTCTCTCTCTCTCCATGAATGATTACAAAAAGAAAAGGAAAGGGAAGGGAAGAATGGATAAGGGGAAAGAAAGTGGGCTGGGGGCTCTGCCCCCGAAACCCTTGGCTGGGGGGCATGACCCCTCAGCCCCCCTTTTCAATTGAGCCCAATTTGATTTGACAAGACCCCCCCTTCAACTAGTGTTATTCATCTTCAAAGATTTTTTATTAAAAATAAAGAAAAATGAGATCCTCTTTCCTCTTCTTCCTCTCCTCCTTCCTCCTCATCCCCCTCCTCTTAAGGAGGCTTATGCCTCTTACATTCTGTACTATGCCTCACGCCTCTAGGTAGTGGAATGCCTCGCGTCATGCCTCATGTTTTAAAACATTGTTTTAACCAAAAAATCATTTAAATTCAGGTAATTTAAAAATGAATATTATCTCCACCAATTATCAGTCAACAGACCATGTACTCACTCTCCAATAGCATTGTAGGGATAGCCCAAATGTAAGTTGACTCATAGAGAGGGAGAAGAGGGAGGGGGAATTTGTTCCCGACTTCACAAAAAATCTGTCACTTCCTACATCTGTAGAAATGTGCAAGTGATATAAAAACTAAGTAAAAATGTTGGGGACTATAGTGATATAAAAGTCTATCCTCTTACACTAAGAGAAATAAACTAGAAAGTAATTGATATGAGTAGAAGAGGAGAAGAAAAAGAAGAGAATTGAGAGGAACTGCATAGGCATGTTTGGTATTTGTGCTGTCCTGTTACAGCTACAACAAAGAAAAAGACTAAATTACCCCTATTGCCAGTATAACAATAAACTGAAAATAACTCAGTCAACAGTTCATATTGCTGATTCAGTTTCTATTAGCTCTTACAAGAACATGAAAAGATAATAATTCTGATGACCGGTTTTAGCATTTGATAAAACTAGTCTCAAAATTCTAATGGATGTTGAAATTAATGAGATAGGTAAGCAGAGGAAAAAAGGAAAAAGAAATAAACTAAAACTAATCAGACATCTTTTATTGGTATCACTTGTTCCAGTTCCATTTCTCGTTTCTGGACTTACATTTAGAAAAACTCCTTTTTGTACATCAATATTAAATTGATTTCCCACCTGAATTGATAGTAAATGAAAATTTCATACATATTAAGGATTTACTAATGTGATATATTTTGAACTCCCTGGGTAGGTGGGGAAAAAGAAAAAATTGTTAGTAGGTATGAAAATCTACATCTTTCACAAGTTACTGATCTCACTTTGAATCTTGTAAATTACTAATGGAGATCAATGGGCTGGGCTTATGTTCGAATATCAAGTGATTATATTCATTGAAGAAGTACTTTGTTTACTTCTTGGGTAGTATTCATCTTCAGTGGTGTCAACCACAATCTGTAATTGAGCTGCTCAATGGTTAGAGTGTAAATGGGATGAGCTGAAAGGGAAAATTCTATTGTTCTTTAGTTCGTTTGACTGTCCTCTGGGCAGTTGGCTTGAAAGGAATAGTTGGGCTTTCCATTCTGAGGACCATCCAGTTAAGAATGTTATTAACTCTTCTTTTGACTTTGTTAGGGCCTGGGTGAACTGTAATAGCTTTCTGTGGATAATACTAGTCCTACTTTCTTGGCTGTGATTTTATTTTTTTGGTTCTATTAAGTGCCCTGTGGTTGTTTTTTTACAGAACCTCATTGTACAAATGGCTGGTTCAAAAAGAAAAGGGAAAGAAGTAATTTGTTTACCAATATCTCTTGCTGACTACATGGAATTATAAAATATAAAAATTGTGTAACAATTGCAGCTTTTTTCTTTGGGGCGGGGGGGTGGAGACTTTATGCACAAACTGCAAGAGTTGCAAGAAATTAAAGCTTTGCCTCTCTCTTTTTTTTCATTCACTAACTTCAATATCAAAGTGAGGATCACTTTTTATAGAGGCCCTGTCTTTTTACAAGAAACCCTAATCCTGCCTTGCTACTTAAGCAACCTGGTAAGAAAAAGAAATAACAAACAACAAACAAAATAAAAAGCTATAAAGAATCCCAAAGCATCTTCTTTTGGAATATTTCCTTACTCTCATTTTGTAATTTTTCTATTTTGTATCAGTCTCAGCCATGGGCTGCGTGAAAAGGCCCATAGGCCTTAAGTGATGGGACTGGCCCCAAAAGAGAAGGCCTAGGTCCCAAAAGTGAAGAAGGTAGATGCTCAGTTGAACTGGGCTTAGGATTCTGGGAAAATGTTTTACTCTGTTTTGCCATTTTGGTAATGTTTTCACTTTTCAGTTTAAATGTAAATAAGATGTAAAGATTCAAATAGTTTCATTTTCTTACATTTTCATCATTCTTTCATTTGCTTACATTTACTTTTATAAAACAAGTTCACAAAGGAGAACCCATTTGATATACAACTACCCCAAGTCAAAGTACAAGATACAGAAGATGTTACAGAAGAAGCAGTAACAATCACATTGAGGAGGGCTATCAGTTTCTATTCAACTATCCAGGCACATGATGGGCACTGGCCAGGGGATTATGGAGGTCCTATGTTTCTACTACCTGGCTTGGTAACTTTTGACCCATAATCAGCATTTTTCATATTTAGTATGCATATGCATGTGTTTACATATTAACAGATATATTCACGTTTTTTTTTTTCAATTTTATGTTTATATAATGCAACAGGTTATTACCCTACATGTGACTGGCACACTGAATGCAGTCCTAACAAAAGAACATCAAAGAGAGATGTGCCGTTATATTTACAATCATCAGGAAAGAGTCATCTGTTGCAGTCTTAACATCTGGATATGTTACTATGCTTTTCACATTATTTACATGTGGAAGCAAAAAAACTCTATATTCTTGACATCTGAATTCAATTGCAGAACAGAGACGGTGGTTGGGGTTTGCATATTGAAGGCCCAAGCACCATGTTTGGTACAGCTCTGAACTATGTTACTTTGAGGTTGCTTGGTGAAGGAGCAGACAGTGGACAAGGGGCGATGGAGAAGGGCCATAGATGGATTCTGGACCATGGTGGTGCTACAGAAATTACATCATGGGGAAAAATGTGGCTTTCGGTAAAGGAATTAAGTTTGTATTTTTGGTTTTCACAGAAACACTGTTCCTTTTAGGTACTGTAGGGAATTTTATTTAATGTCGTTTTCCTTGTTATTACTAGGTACTTGGGGCATTTGAATGGTCTGGCAACAATCCACTGCCCCCAGAGATATGGCTATGCTCTTATCTTCTTCCTTTTCATCCAGGTATTTTCTAAATTATTGTTTCAGATCAGGTTTCATTTCTTTCAATGAAATTAAAAAAGAAAACTTCCTGGAAATTTGTCAACCTAAAAATTTTTGGTTCAGTCCCCAATGTGCTGCTTGTTTTTGCTCGAGTAATATGTTTTGCTCTTGGTCGTTTGCTACAAGGAGAAGAACAATATTTAGAGCAGTCCCATGGTCACTAGATACCATACCAAATAGCCTTGCATGCTTTTGCAAGAAAATCTTGCAACTAAGACTGACTTCTTCAATCATGATGGGCATAACCAAAGGATGTTTGCCTCAATTATGATTCAATTAGAATACTTCAGTCCGGACTATGAATATTTAATATGGTTAGGTCAACAATATTGAACTACACTCTGTTTCCAAATAACTCTTGGATGGATGAAGGGTATATATGGTTAATGGTCATGATGAAATCAATAGTAAGGTTTGACATATTGATACACTCAATAGTAGGTTTGACATATCAAGATGCTCAATACACGCCAATACATTTTGATATTTTGAACCTTGATCAATAGATATGGTTTGGGTTGGTAAGGTTGCCAAATAAATAATTATTCATTCATTTATTTTATTTAATTTTGACTGGTACAAGTGATTTTATATTTATTGAGGTAAACGAAACTATTACAAAAAGTTAAGTGGATTCCAATCATAATACTGTCAATCAATGGAAGAACTGAAGAAGAGTACCAAAAAATGCTTGATTACCAAGATTTAAGTACAAAAATGAAAAACATATGTCTCACAATCTCACCCTACTGCCTCTTGTTAGTTGATATCCATCCTTTGACAAATTTATCTATTCAGTACTTGTTATTTTTGGCTAATAGGAGCAGGCATCCTCGTGGCTGATTTCATGTCAAAGCAAAGGTCATTACATTGCTTACTATATGTATCCATCATTTCATAAGCTCTTGCAATACCAACAATCCTCATTAAAATTACAAAAATGACAATATGATTAACTTGGTTACCTTCTCAGTGAATATGCAGGATCAAGGTTTTAGAATCTGGTAGGTAATCAATCTAATGATAGCTGAGTCTTTATTGGAGTTCCACTGAGTTAAAATATTTCACAGCTTAGAATGGGTAGCAGCATTACTGAATTGTAAATCCTGATTACCATCCAGCTTTAGTTCCAGTTCAATGGCCTGTATGCATGTGGGGAACTATTCCAGGATTAAGTTTTTATGATGGCAAATGGAGATGGGCCAATGTGATCCCTCCCCTGGATCACCTCCTCAATGTAGACCCCTCTGTCTTAAGTAAACATAGTTCCCATTGACATATTCTTGTCTATTGATGTCTACTTTGTGCATCACATTATACTATTTTATGGTACATTCAAATGGGAGAAATGACATGACCCTTTTGGCTTCATGGCGCTACACAACAGGGGGTAGTTCATCCCCCAAACTCAAAGTGCCACCAATCTGGATGAAGGTGGGAATTGAACCCAAGTCTCCATTACAATCAGTCATAGACCTTATCAACTGAGCCAGTTGGAACCTTTGAGAAATTTCAAGACCGAGTAGCTCCTATATGAAGTGCTAGGGTAAAGACATAATAGAGAAGTTCAATGTCTCTGAAAATAATCAAGTCCAGTAATTTTTTATGGTAATGGTGTAATGCCATGAGTACAACACTGAAAATTATGGCGGTGGTGGTGCTTATTCTGCAAACCTCTATGGTTTGAAGAAAAGATAAAATGTGGATGAAATAGGTAGTTCGGATGAGAATATGGCTTCAGCTTCATATGCCAATCCTCATGTTTTAAGCATTTTTTAAGTTTGGCATCCATCTTCTAGGTTCTTATCAATAGAATGAAAGTCACCTGATATCGGGGAGCTGGGTGACGGTGGATAAACAGTTTCAAGATGTTTCAGCCAGATGCATGTCTGTCCTTCAAATCTGAAATAAAATCTGAGAAAAAAATAGAAAAGAATGACAGAGAAAAGGATTACAGCAGAATAGAAGAAGAAGAAGATGGAGAAGAAGAGAGTTCGATTTATTTCTCTCTTCCTTCTCTAATCTTTTGTTAATTTTAATTAAAATGGCTAATTACAAGTCTGCCCTTTAAGTGGGCGGCCAGCTAAGAACTTACTTAAATAAAAAAATAAAAAGAGGTTAACAGGCCCATTAACAAATAAGAGGGTTTGGACTCCTAGACCCAATGGAACCTTCACTTGTGCTTCTTTTTTCAAGTCCATCTCTCAACTTTCTACTCACCAACCCTTTCCGTCAAAAGAAATTTGGTGTAGGCCA